TACACACGTACGTACACACACACATACACAACAACAACAACAGCCGCCATTCGCCACTAAGTGGCGGTGACGTCACCACGACGCTTGTGCCAGGCCATGTGCACCGCTGACAGGAGGTCACGGGGCAGACCCAGGTGCCACGGGGCGACTGACTGAGATGACTGGCTGATGCACCACCTGTGCCCCCTACTGTGCCAACCTGCTGTGCTTTAGCCACTCGGCGCTCCGCTCGTTGTTGTGAGCGTCGCTCCTCCGCCCTCCGTTGTTGTTGGAGGGCGACTGCCTCCAACTGCCCAGCAGCGTCCTTCACGAGCCTCCTCCACAGAGGCCGATCTTGACACCCCTGGTACCGGTCATCGGCAAGTCCACTCAGCTCCACGTCCTCCTGTACCACATCACTCCGTCTCTTCTCTAGCCCGTGCCGCGCCCGTTTAGCCCCCTCGATCCGGCCGAACAAAAGCTGTTTCGGCATGCGGTGGCTGGGCATGCGGGCTACATGACCCAGCCATCGCAGCCTTGCCTGCCGGAGGAGCTCACCGATGGGACCGTGCCCAGATCTTTCAAGGATTTGTGAGCTCCTCACACAATCCAGCCTGGTTAAACCCAAGATGGATCGTAGGCAGGCCAGCCTAAATGTTTCTAACCGGCGAAGATGTTCCATTAGGGGGGTCCACGTTTCGCAAGCGTAGAGAAGGGAGGGAATGACCGTGGCCGAGAAGACCTGAAGCTTAGTGCGGAGCGACAGACCAGGTAGCTTCCACACAGCGTTACGCAACCGATGAAAATATATTGCCGCTCGACTGATTCGGAGTGAGACTTCTGCTGTTAAACTGGAGCATACAAACACACACATACACACATACGTACTTACACATACACACGTACTTAAACACACATACACACGTACGTACACACACACATATACTTACATACATACACACGTACTTACACATATAAAAGACAAAGATCCCCCGTATAGCCTTAACAAGGGGCAAGTGCTGCTAGCGAGCACCTATGAAGGCCAGAACGGTACACGCGGGGGTGGGTGGCCAGCACCACGCCCGACCGCCTTTGTCTCCCTAGTGGCAATGTTTACACACCGCACCAGGTACTCATTTGAGGCTGAGTCGACCTAGGGGAGGCCCAGGACCGGTTCAGATAATTGTCACTGGTGTTGGCCGTGAGCGGGAATCGAACCCGGGTCGCCAGGTTCATAGCGCAGCGCGCTAACCGCTACACTATCGCTCCCCACGTACATACACACATACACACGCAATTACAGATACACACATACACACGTACTTACACATATCCATACACACATACACACGCAATTACACATACACACATACACACGTACTTACACATATACATACATACACACACGTAGATTCCACACAGCGTTACGCAACCGATGAAAAGATATTGCCGCTCGACTGATTCGGAGTGAGACCTCTGCTCTTAAACTGGAGCATACATACACACACATACACACATACGTACTTACACATACACACGTACTTAAACACACACATACACACGTACTTACACACACATACACATGTACGTACACACACACGTACTTACACACATATACACACATACATGCACACGTACTTACACATAAACACACATACGTACTTAAACACATACATACACACGTACTTACACATACACACATACACACGTACTTACACATATACATACACACATACACACGTAATTACACATTCACACATACACACGTACTTACACATGTACATATACATACACACACAACAACAACCGCCATTCGCCACTAAGTGGCGGTGACGTCACCACGACGCTTGTGCCAGGCTATGTGCACCGTGAGGCCACGTGAAGTGTCGAACGCCCGCTGGCAGGAGGTCACTGGGCAGACCCAGGTGCCACGGGTCGACTGACTGAGATGACTGGCTGATGCACCACCTGTGCCCCCTACTGTGCCAACCTGCTGTGCTTTAGCCACCCGGCGCTCCGCTCGTTGTTGTGAGCGTCGCTCCTCCGCCCTCCGTTGTTGTTGGAGGGCGACTGCCTCCAACTGCCCAGTAGCATCCTTCACGAGCCTCCTCCACAGAGGCCGATCTTGACACCGCTGGTACCAGTCATCGGCAAGTCCACTCAGCTCCACGTCCTCCTGTACCACATCACTCCATCTCTTCTCTAGCCCGTGCCGCGCCCGCTTAGCCCCCTCAATCCGGCCAAACAAAAGCTGTTTCGGCATGCGGTGGCTGGGCATGCGGGCTACATGACCCAGCCATCGCAGTCTTGCCTGCCGGAGAAGCTCACCAATGGGACCCTGCCCAGATCTTTCAAGGATTTGTGAGCTCCTCACACAATCCAGTCTGGTTAAACCCAGGATGGATCGTAGGCAGGCCAGCCTAAATGTTTCTAACCGGCGAAGATGTTCCACACACACACGTAATTACACACATACACATGTACTTACACATATACATACACACATACACACGTAATTACACATTCACACATACACACGTACTTACACATGTACATATACATACACACACACGTACTTACACACACACGCAATTACACATACACACGTACTTACACATATACATACCCACCAACACACGCAATTACACATACACACATACACACGTACTTACACATGTACATACATACACACACGTACGTACACACACACATACACACGTACTTACACATACACACACGTACTTACACACATACACACGTACTTACACATATACATACACACATACACACGCAATTACACATACACACGTACTTACACATATACATACACACATACACACGTACTTACACATACACACATACACACATACACGCGTACTTACACATGTACATATACATACACACACACGTACTTACACACACACGTATTTACACACATACATACACACATACACACGTACTTATACATGTACATACATACACGTACGTACACACACACATACATACACGTACTTACACATATACATACACACGTACGTACATATATACGTACTTACACATATACATACACACACACATACAACACACACACATACAACACACACACATACAACACACACACATACAACACACGTACTTACACACACACACGTACTTACTTACACACACACACGTACTTACATACACACATACACACATACATACGTACTTACACATATACATACACACACACATACAACACACGTACTTACACACATACACACCCTCTCCCTCCAGGCATTCCTCCTCCGCTCTTCTCTCTACCCCCTCCCCACCGCCTCCACCAACCCCAACATCCGAGTCGCGTCTTACCCCTCCACCACCACCGCCCCCGCCCCCAACCTCACGCCCCCATTACATATCCTCGCACACCCCTCTCTCTCCACGACATCCACTGCCCATCGCATCGACCGATCATCTCGTCTCGCCGTCTGCAGAAGTCTCTGCACGGACAGCACCAGATTCAAGTATGTGTGTGTGTATATATACGTTGCATGCACTTGCCCCTACAGCTCGTGGAGGCTATACGGGCCATCTTTGCCTGTTGTATACGTTGCATGCACTTGCCCCCCACAGCCCGTGGAGGCTATACGGGCCATCTTTGCCTGTTGTATACGTTACATGCACTTGCCCCCTACAGCCCGTGGAGGCTATACGGGCCATCTTTACCTGTTGTATACGTGCATGCACTTGCCCCCCACAGCCTGTGGAGGCTATACGGGCCCTCTTTACCTGTTGTATACGTGCATGCACTTGCCCCCTACAGCCCGTGGAGGCTATACGGGCCATCTTTACCTGTTGTATACGTGCATGCACTTGCCCCTACAGCCTGTGGAGGCTATACGGGCCCTCTTTACCTGTTGTATACGTGCATGCACTTGCCCCGACGGCGGGCGCAGGCTACACGGTTGACCTTTGCCTTCGTACAAATAAACTCGCGATAATTTGTATCTTGGAACGTCCGATGAATCGATAGCAGACTCATTAGCATACAGTATCGATGACGATGTAGAGCGTAACCACAGATCGCATTGTCCATTAACCCTAACTCGCCAACTCACCCACCCACCCATCCACCAATCCATCCACCCACCCACCCATCCACCCACCCATCCACCCATCCACCAATCCATCCACCCATCCACAAATCCATCCACCCATCTACCCACCCATCCACCCATCCACCAATCCATCCACCCACCCGTCCACCCACCCATCCATCCACCCACCCATCCACCCATCCATCCACCCATCCACCCACCCATCCACCCATCCACCCACCCACCAATCCATCCACCCACCCACCCATCCACCCACCCATCCACCCACCCATCCACCCATCCATCCACCCATCCACCCACCCACCAATCCATCCACCCACCCACCAATCCATCCACCCACCCATCCACCCACCCATCCACCCACCCACCAATCCATCCACCCATCCACCCATCCACCCATCCACCCACACACCCACCCATCCACCCATACACCCATCCACCAATCCACCCACCCATCCATCCACCCACCAATCCATCCACCCACCAATCCACCCACCAATCCACCCACCAATCCACCCACCAATCCACCCACCCATCCATCCACCATCCATCCACCCACCCACCCATCCACCAATCCATCCACCCACCAATCCATCCACCCACCAATCCATCCACCCACCCACCCATCTACCCATCCACCAATACATCCACCCATCCACCAATCCATCCACCCACCCACCAATCCACCAACCCACCCACCCATCCACCCACCCATCCACCCACCCACCCACCAATCCATCCACCACCAATCCATCCACCACCCATCCACCAACCCACGCACTCATCCACCCACCCACCCATCCACCAAACGCAGCCCCACCACGCAGGAGCTGCGGGGAGGACGCAGCGAGTTGACTGACGGCCGCCCAGCGGCGTGGCACCCAACGACGCGAAAAAAGTCGTGCGGGGGAACCGTCCACGATGCCAGCGGCGTCGGCGGCGTCGGCGGCGGCCGCCCGCGGTGTTTGCCTCGGACTCTGCGTCCTGTGGATCGGCGTCTCGGCGCTCAGCGCAGCGCCGACTCGCGACGTGGAAGAGGCGGACGACGAGGAGGCGGCGGCGGCGGCGGCGGTGGTGGAGACGCGAGGAGACACTTTTGGAGACTCCTGGAGAGATGGAGACGAGCGGCGAGACCGGGGCGGCGGCGGTGACTCGTTCCCGGAGGGAGCCAAGGGGATCAGAGCCGAGAGAGAGTGGATGAGGTCCAGGGAGGAGGAGATCGAGAGGGAGATGGGGCGCGAGATGGAGTGGGAGAGCGCGTGGGAGACGGAGGGAGACGCGAGGAGACGGGAGGAGGAGGAGGAGAAGAAGGAGGAGGAGGAGGGGAAACGAGGGCGAGACACAGGTGAGAAACACGGGGGGAGACACGGGGGTGACGCGGGGAGACAGGTGAGAGACACGGGGAGACAGGTGAGAGACAGGTGAGAGACACGGGGAGACAGGTGAGAGACACGGGGGGAGACACGGGGGTGACGCGGGGAGACAGGTGAGAGACACGGGTGAGAGACACGGGGTGAGATACAGGTGAGAGACACCGGGGAGACACGGGGATGACGCGGAGGAGAGACACGGGGGAGATACACGTGAGAGACACGGGGGGAGACACGGGGGAGACGCGGGGGAGACGCGGGGAGACACAGGTGAGAGACACGGGGTGAGAGACACGGGGGGGAGACACGGGAAGAGACGCGGGGGAGACGTGGAGGAGAGGCACAGGTGAGAGACACGGGGTGAGAGACACGGGGGGAGACACGGGGGAGACGCGGAGGCGAGACACGGGGGGAGACACAGGTGAGAGACACGGGGGGAGACACGGGGTGAGAGACACGGGGGGAGACACGGGGGAGACACGGGGGAGACAAGGGGGAGACACGGGGGAGACAAGAGGGAGACAAGGGGGGAGACACAGGTGAGAGACACGGGGTGAGAGACACGGGGTGGGAGACACGGGGGGAGACACGGGGGAGACACGGGGTGAGAGACACGGGAGGAGACACGGGGAAGACACGGGGGAGACACAGGTGAGAGACACGGGGGGAGAGACACGGGGTGAGACACACAGGGTGAGAGAGACACGGGGGAGACACAGGTGAGAGACACGGGGGGGAGAGACACGGGGTGAGACACACAGGGTGAGAGAGACACGGGGGAGACACGGGGTGAGAGACACGGGGTGAGAGACACACGGGGTGAGCGGCACACAGGGTGAGAGACACACGGGGTGAGAGACACACAGGGTGAGAGACACACGGGGTGAGAGACACAGGGTGAGAGACACACGGGGTGAGAGACACACGGGGTGAGAGACACACGGGGTGAGAGACACACAGGGTGAGAGACACACGGGGTGAGAGACACACGGGGTGAGAGACACACGGGGTGAGAGACACACGGGGTGAGAGACACGGGGTGAGAGACACAGGGTGAGAGACACACGGGGTGAGAGACACACGGGGTGAGAGACACACGGGGTGAGAGACACACAGGGTGAGAGACACACGGGGTGAGAGACACAGGGTGAGAGACACACGGGGTGAGAGACACACAGGGTGAGAGACACGGGGTGAGAGACACACGGGGTGAGAGACGCGGGGTGAGACACACGGGGTGAGAGACACACAGGGTGAGAGTCACACGGGGTGAGAGACACACGGGGTGAGAGACGTGGGGTGAGACACACGGGGTGAGAGACACACGGGGTGAGAGACACACGGGGTGAGAGACACACGGGGTGAGAGACACGGGGTGAGAGACACAGGGTGAGAGACACACGGGGTGAGAGACACACGGGGTGAGAGACACACGGGGTGAGAGACACACAGGGTGAGAGTCACACGGGGTGAGAAACACACGGGGTGAGAGACACACAGGGTGAGAGAGGCACGGGAGAGACGCGGGGTGAGAGAGACACGGGGGAGACACGGGGTGAGAGACGCGGGGTGAGACACACAGGGTGAGAGACACACAGGGTGAGAGACACACGGGGTGAGAGACACACGGGGTGAGAGAGACACAGGGTGAGAGAGACACGGGGTGAGAGACACACGGGGTGAGAGACACACGGGGTGAGAGACGCGGGGTGAGACACACGGGGTGAGAGACACACGGGGTGAGACACACGGGGTGAGAGACACACGGGGTGAGAGAGACACGGGGTGAGAGTCACACGGGGTGAGAGACACACGGGGTGAGAGTCACACGGGGTGAGAGACACACGGGGTGAGAGACACAGGGTGAGACACACACGGGGTGAGAGACACACGGGGTGAGACACACGGGGTGAGACACACACGGGGTGAGAGACACACGGGGTGAGACACACGGGGTGAGAGACACACAGCGTGAGAGACACGGGGTGAGAGACACACGGGGTGAGAGTCACACGGGGTGAGAGACACACAGGGTGAGAGACACACGGGGTGAGAGACACACAGGGTGAGAGTCACACGGGGTGAGAGACACACAGGGTGAGAGAGGCACGGGGTGAGAGAGACACGGGGTGAGAGAGGCACGGGGTGAGAGAGGCACGGGAGAGACGCGGGGTGAGAGAGACACGGGGGAGACACGGGGTGAGAGACGCGGGGTGAGACACACGGGGTGAGAGACACACAGGGTGAGAGACACACGGGGTGAGAGACACACGGGGTGAGAGACACACGGGGTGAGAGAGACACGGGGTGAGAGACACACAGGGTGAGAGACACACGGGGTGAGAGAGACACGCTTGGAGCTGCAGCCACGTGTGACTGCGGTCATCCAGCAGTGGATCGGCGTGAGACGAGCGACATCCCTGAGGCGCTCTCTGTGGAAATTTGTCGCACAGGGCCGGCGCCCGACACGGGGTGCGCAGAAGCACCGGCCGCACCGAAGAAATCTGCGGCGGCGCCTCCAAAGAAATCCGCGGCGCCGGCGCCTCCAAAGAAATCCGCGGCAGCGCCTCCAAAGAAATCCGCGGCGCCGGCGCCTCCGAAGAAATCTCCGGCGCCTCCGAAGAAATCCGCGGCAGCGCCTCCGAAGAAATCCGCGGCGCCGGCGCCTCCGAAGAAATCTGCGGCAGCCCCGGCAGTGGCGAAGAAACCCGCGCAGAAGAAGCGCAAGGGGCCGGAGGGGAAGGCGACCCGGAGTAAGAGGCGCACGCACAAAGACAAAGCTGCCCCCAGGTAGCCTGTAGCGGGGGGCCGTTGGGGCAAGTGCTGTTGAGAGAGCGTGGGTTTGTCCATAAGCACGCAGCGCTTCTCTCACTCTCTCTCACTCTCTCTCTTACTCTCTCTCACTCTCTCACTCTCTTACTCTCTCTCTCACTCTCTCACTCTCTTACTCTCTCTCACTCTCTCCATCTCTCTCACTCTCTCACTCTCTTACTCTCTCTCACTCTCTCACTCTCTCACTCTCTCTCACTCTCTTACTCTCTCTCACTCTCTCACTCTCTTACTCTCTCTCACTCTCTCACTCTCTTACTCTCTCTCACTCTCTCCATCTCTCTCACTCTCTCACTCTCTTACTCTCTCTCACTCTCTCACTCTCTCACTCTCTCTCACTCTCTCCCTCTCTATCCATCTCTCTCAATCTCTCTCAATCTCTCTCTCCCCCATCTCTCACTCTCTTACTCTCTCTCACTCTCTCCCTCTCTATCCATCTCTCTCAATCTCTCTCCATCCCTCTCCATCTCTCTCCATCTCTCTCCATCTCTCTCAATCTCTCTCACTCTCTCCATCTCTCCCTCTCTCCCCATCTCTCTCTCTCCCCATCTCTCACTCTCTTTCTCTCACTCTCTCCATCTCTCACTCTCCCCATCTCTCTCTCTCCCCATCTCTCACTCTCTTACTCCCTCTCTCACTCTCCCCATCTCTCTCTCTCTCCCCATCTCTCACTCTCTCTCTCACTCTCTCCCTCTCTCCCCATCACTCTCTCTCACTCTTTCCATCTCTCTCAATCTCTCTCACTCTCTCCATCTCTCCCTCTCTCCCCATCTCTCACTCTCTTTCTCTCTCTCTCCCCATCTCTCACTCTCTTACTCTCTCTCTCACTCTCTCCATCTCTCTCTTTTTTTCTTTTACGATCAGAGGAAACAAGAAGATGCTCGGTGTAGTCGGCACTTTGCTCCGTTCATCATTTCGTCTTTTTGGTTTTTTAATGCTTTGCTTTATGTAACCCCCCACCCTAACCCCCCCCCCCCTTTTAAATGAAAGACCCAACAACAAAATATATTTTTTTATTTTTTTCTGCTCTCCTTACCCCTTCCCTCTCTCGCTACCCCCCTCTCTGCCCCCCCCCCCTCTCTCTACCCCCCTCTCTGCCCCCCCTCGCTCTCTGCCCCCTCTTTACCTACTCCATTTCGCTCTCTCTCTCTCTCTGTCTCGCTCTCTCTCTTTTTGTATAACTACGACAAGTGCTGCACCTGCACGCAGCCCTTCCCACAGTCAAACGGCCTCCGACGGGTAGCTCAGATCTGCACGCACAGAGCTCTCTACCGTCATCTGCCACCGAGCACACGGCCAGCGCCCACCGCTCCTTGAAGGCCGGCACGGCGTGGGTCAGCCGCGCGTGGCGGAACTCCGGCCACACCCTGGCTCCGACCAGAGCGCGGAAGATGCCCAGGCTGCTGGCCGGACGTTGCCCCTCCAGGGCCACCTTCCTCGCCCTGTATATCCCTCTCTCTCTCTCCCCATCGCTCTCCCCCCATCTCTCTCTCCCCATCTCTCTCTCTCTCCCCATCTCTCTCCCCCCATCTCTCTCTCCCCATCTCTCTCTCCCCCCATCTCTCTCTTTCTCTCTCTCTTCCCCCATCTTTCTCTCCCCCATCTCTCCCTCTCTCCATCTCTCACTCTCTCCATCTCTCTCTCCCCATCTCTCTCCCCCCATCTCTCCCCATCTCTCTCTCTCCCCATCTCTCTCCCCCCATCTCTCTCTCCCCATCTCTCTCCCCCCATCTCTCCTCATCTCTCTCTCCATCTCTCTCCCCCCATCTCTCTCTCCCCATCTCTCTCCCCCCATCTCTCTCTTTCTCTCTCTCTTCCCCCATCTTTCTCTCCCCCATTTCTCCCTCTCTTCATCTCTCCCTCCCCATCTCTCTCCCCCCATCTCTCCTCATCTCTCTCTCCCCCATCTCTCTCCCCCCATCTCTCTCCTCCCATCTCTCTCTCCATCTCTCTCCCCCCATCTCTCTCCCCCCATCTCTCTCTCCCCATCTCTCTCTCTCTCCCCCATCTCTCTCTCCCCATCTCTCTCCCCCCATCTCTCCCCATCTCTCTCTCCCCCATCTCTCTCTCCCCATCTCTCTCTCCCCATCTCTCTCCCCATCTCTCTCCCCCCATCTCTCCCCATCCCTCTCTCCCCCATCTCTCTCTCTCCCCCATCTCTCTCTCCCCATCTCTACCTCTCTCCATCTCTCTCCCCCCATCTCTCTCCCCCCATCTCTCTCTCCCCATCTCTCTCTCTCCCCCATCTCTCTCTCCCCATCTCTCTCCCCCCATCTCTCCCCATCTCTCTCTCCCCCATCTCTCTCTCCCCATCTCTCTCTCCCCATCTCTCTCCCCCCATCTCTCTCCCCCCATCTCTCCCCATCTCTCTCTCCCCCATCTCTCTCTCTCTCCCCATCTCTCTTCCCCCATGTCTCCCCATCTCTCTCTCCCCCAACTCTCTCTCCCCATCTCTCTCTCCCCATATCTCTCCCCCCATCTCTCTCTCCCCATCTCTCTCTTTCTCCCCCATCTCTCTCTCCCCATCTCTCTCCCCCCATCTCTCCCCATCTCTCTCTCCCCCGTCTCTCTCTCCCCATCTCTCTCTCCCCTATCTCTCTCTCCCCATCTCTCCCTCTCCCCATCTCTCTCCCCCCATCTCTCTCCCCCATCTCTCTCTCCTCATCTCTCTCTCCCCATCTCTCCCTCTCTCCCCATCTCTCTCTCCCCATCTCTCTCCCCATCTCTCTCCCCCCATCTCTCCCCATCTCTCTCTCCCCCATCTCTCTCTCCCATCTCTCTCTCCCCATCTCTCTCTCCCCATCTCTCCCTCTCTCCCCATCTCTCTCCCCCCATCTCTCTCCCCACATCTCTCCCCATCTCTCTCTCCCCCATCTCTCTCTCTCCATCTCTACCTCTCTCCATCTCTCTCCCCCCATCTCTCTCCCCCCATCTCTCCCCATCTCTCTCTCCCCCATCTCTCTCCCCCATCTCTCTCTCCCCATCTCTCTCTCTCTCCCCCATCTTTCTCTCCCCATCTCTCTCCCCCAATCTCTCCCCATCTCTCTCTCCCCCATCTCTCTCCCCCCATCTCTCTCCTCCCATCTCTCTCTCCCCATCTCTCTCTCTCTCTCCCCCATCTCTCTCTCTCCCCATCTCTCTCCCCCCATCTCTCCCCATCTCTCTCTCCCCCAACTCTCTCTCCCCATCTCTCTCTCCCCATCTCTCTCCCCCCATCTCTCTCTCCCCATCTCTCTCTCTCTCCCCCATCTCTCTCTCCCCATCTCTCTCCCCCCATCTCTCCCCATCTCTATCTCCCCCATCTCTCTCTCCCCATCTCTCTCTCCCCATCTCTCTCTCCCCATCTCTCTCTCCCCATCTCTCTCCCCCCATCTCTCTCTCCCCATCTCTCTCTCCCCATCTCTCTCTCCCCATCTCTCCCTCTCTCCCCATCTCTCTCCCCCCATCTCTCTCTTTTTTTTTCTTCGACCACAGGAAAACAGAAGATGCTCGGTGTAGTCGGCACTTTGCTTCGTTCATCATTTCGGTTTTTTTCTAATGCTTTGCTTTATGTAACCCCCTCCCCCCTTTTTAAATGAAAGATTACCATCTCTCTCCCCGTCTCTCTCCCCCCATCTCTCTCTCCCCATCTCTCCCTCTCTCCATCTCTCTCCATCTCTCCCCATCTCTCTCCATCTCTCTCTCCATCTCTCTCACTCACTCTCTCCATCTCTCTCACTCTCTCTCAATCTCTCTCAATCTCTCTCTCCCCATCTCTCACTCTCTTACTCTCTCTCACTCTCTCCCTCTCTATCCATCTCTCTCTCTCCCCCAACTCTCTCTCTCTCCATCTCTCACTCTCTCCATCTCTCTCCATCTCTCTCAATCTCTCTCCATCCCTCTCCATCTCTCTCCATCTCTCTCCATCTCTCTCCATCTCTCTCAATCTCTCTCAATTTCTCCATCTCTCCCTCTCTCCCCATCTCTCTCTCTCCCCATCTCTCACTCTCTTTCTCTCACTCTCTCCATCTCTCACTCTCCCCATCTCTCTCTCCCCATCTCTCACTCTTATACTCTCTCTCACTCTCTCCATCTCTCCCCATCTCTCTCTCTCCCCATCTCTCACTCTCTTTCTCTCACTCTCTCCATCTCTCACTCTCCCCATCTCTCTCTCCCCATCTCGCACTCTCTCAATCTCTCTCCATCCCTCTCCATCTCTCTCACTCTCTCCATCTCTCTCAATCTCTCTCAATTTCTCCATCTCTCCCTCTCTCCCCATCACTCTCTCTCACTCTCTCCATCTCTCTCCATCTCTCTCAATCTCTCCCCATCTCTCACTCTCTTACTCTCTCTCACTCTCTCCATCTCTCCCTCTCTCCCCATCTCTCTCTCTCCCCATCTCTCACTCTCTCTCTCTCACTCTCTCCATCTCTCTCTTTTTTTCTTTTACGATCAGAGGAAACAAGAAGATGCTCGGTGTAGTCGGCACTTTGCTCCGTTCATCATTTCGTCTTTTTTTGTTTTTTAATGCTTTGCTTTATGTAACCCCACCCCCCCCCCCCCCCTTTTTAATGAAAGACCCAACAACAAAATATTTTTTTTATTTTTTTCTGCTCTCCTTACCCCTTCCCTCTCTCGCTACCCCCCTCTCTGCCCCCCCCTCTCTCGCTACCCCCCTCTCTGCCCCCCTCTCTCTCTCTGCCCCCTCTCTTCCTACTCCATTTGGCTCTCTCTCGCTCTCTATTTTTTCTTCATAACTACGACAAGTGCTGAATCTGCACGCAGCCCTTCCCACAGTCCAACGGCCTCCGACGGGTAGCTCACAATGTGCACGCACAGAGCTCTCCGTCATCTGCCACCGAGCACACGGCCAGCGCCCACTGCTCCTTGAAGGCCGGCAAGGCGTGGGTCAGCCGCGCACGGCGGAACTCCGGCCACACCCTGG